ATGTCCCGGACAAAGTTCAAAGTGTAAAATAAACAAAGGGGAATAATTCAAAAATCAGGCAAGGCAGAGTTACGGTTCTTGTGCACTGCACACCTACTCAATGAGATCTATCTACCTACAAAGTTTCATGTTGATACCTCTTATACTTTTAGAGTTATGTCCAGGACAAAGTTCAAAGTGTAAAATAAACAAAGGGGGATAATTCAAAAATTAGGCAAGGCAGCGTTATGGTTCTTGTGCACTGCACACCTACTCAATGAGATCTATCTACCTACAAAGTTTCATGTTGATACCTCTTATACTTTTAGAGTAATGTCCCGGACAAAGTTCAAAGTGTAAAATAAACAAAGGGGGATAATTCACAAATTAGGCAAGGCAGAGTTACGGTTCTTGTGCACTGCACACCTACTCAATGAGATCTTTCTACCTACAAAGAATCATGTTGAAACCTCTTATACATTTAGAGTTATGTCCGGGACAAAGTTCAAAGTGTAAAATAAACAAAGGGGGATATTCAAAAATTAGGCAAGGCATAGTTTCGGTTCTTGTGCACTGCACACCTACTCAATGAGATCTATCTACCTACAAAGTTTCATGTTGATACCTCTTATACTTTTAGAGTTATGTCCCGGACAAAGTTCAAAGTGTAAAAATAAACAAAGGGGAATAATTCAAAAATTAGGCAAGGCAGAGTTACAGTTCTTGTGCACTGCACACCTACTCAATGAGATCTATCTACCTACAAAGTTTCATGTTGATACCTCTTGTTGTTTCAAAGTTATGTCCCGGACAAGAAAAGGGGACGGACGGACGGAAAGACGGACGGACGGACAAGGCGGCGACTATATGCTCCCCCGAAATTTTTTCGGGGAGCATAAATAAAAATCAAAATATTTTGGTTATCTTTTATTTTCTTAGAATTATTTCCCTTTTTCCCATTTACAAGAAACAAAATATTTGATGTTAATAAAAATTATATTGTTATGTAAAATTCTAAATAAAAATGTGTCCAACAACTTCATTTTGCTCTAGATTATTGTGCCAATACCTTTATTCTATATATTTAGATTAAATATTCTGTTCCTGGCATTTATATTTTGACAATTCTTTGACACTGAACATTATACTTTGAAGTTTTCTCTGAAAACTGAATGAAATGTATGCTAACAGGTGTTGCCGCAATATAAATTAGTGTATAAAAAAGTTATTTAACCTATTTTGTTTCACACTTTGCATTATGTAACATACTTTTTAAGGACTAAAAGAATTATGTGTTATGAAAACATGAAAAAAGGGAAATCAATCTCACAAAAGTGACAGTAGCCAAATATTGTCTTTCTGTTTATGTCAAATATTATTCTCAATAAACAAACAAAATTTAAAAGAAATATCTTTATTTCTTTTCTAGAAATATGATTTTTTATGACATAAGCCCGATCGGGCATTTTCACCAGCCAGTTAAAACTCTTCTTATGAGCATCAGAGTGACCTTCACTCCGACCTTGACCTTGGATGTAGGAACATGGGTCTTACACACAACACATCTTCATGTGGTAGACATTTGTGCCAAGTTATTTTAAAACTCTCAATGCATGACAAAAGTATAGTCTGGACACAAATGTGTGTACCTGTAATCTCTTATTGTGATAGCGTGAAATATAAGTGTGGCCTTGACCTTTGAAGAAGGGATGTGGTTCTTGGATGCAACACAATGTTGTCATGTGATAGACATTTGTGCCAAAATATTTCAATATCCCTAAATGCATGACAAAGTTACAGTCTGGACATGATTGTTGTGTAAGCTGGGATGCACAGACAGTCATGAGCCTTAGCCAGGACACATCATCTTCATGTGGCAGACATTTGTGCCAAGTTATTTCAAAATCCTTCAAACTCTTCTTGAGAGAATGAGTACCTTCAAACTATAAGTGTAACTTTGACCTTGCAGGTAGAGACATGGGTCTTGGACGTGACATGTTGTCTTGATGTGGCAGACATTCTTGCCTAGTTATTTTAAAATCCTTCGATGCATGACAAAGTTACAGTTCAGACACAAATGTGTGTACCTCTAAACTCTAATTGTGATAAAATGAACTTCAAAATGGTAGTGTGACCTTTGAGGTAGGGATGTGATTCTTAGACATGACACATCGTCTTGATGTGGTAGACATTTATGCCAAGTTATTCTAAAATCCTTCGATGCATGACAAAGTTACAGTCCGGACACAAATGTGTGTACCTATAAATTCTTATTGAGATAAAGTGAAACTTCAGAATGTTAGTGTGACCTTGACCTTTGAGGTAGGGACATGATTCTTGGACACAACACATTGTCTCTTAATGTGGTGGACATTTATGCAAAGCTATTCTAAAATCCTTAATTGCAGTTACAGCCCGGACAAGATTATGTGTACCTATTAACTCTAATTGTGATAATGTGAAACTTCAAAATGTTAGTGTGACCTTGCCTTTGAGGTAGGGACATAATTCTTGTCTTGATGTGGTAGACATTTATACCTTCATTGTAGTTATTTTAAAATAATAGCGGAGACTCCCACTTACTGCAGCCATATTTTCAAAGATTTTCTTAAAATAAGGGGTATTTTCACAAATTAAAGAAATCTGCCTCCTTTTGATGTCAGAACTTCCTTCTTTGTTTATTGCAAATTCTAAAATCTCCCTCTTTTTGAAGAAAAAATCTCCCACTTGATCATCAAAAAAAGTTCACATGTATGGTGTGGCCTTGACTTTTGAAGAAGGGACATGGTTCTTGGATGTGACATATCGTTTTGTTTTGTAGACATTTGTGCCAAGCTATTTCAAAAGCCCTCAATGTGTCCGAACACGAATGAAATGGAGATGCACTGAGACGGACAGAGGGATGGTGTGATTTTAATATGCTGCCCAAAGTTTAGGGGCATAAAGAAAATTTGATAAAGAACTCCCAGGGTAAATTCAGCAATATAAGAATTAATAATTCTATATAATTAATAAAGTCCTCTGAATATGTTTTATACACATGTATGATATTCAGACAAAGTAAGTTAAACTGGATGATAAAGAACACATCCTGCTGTACATAGTAGTTTATACTAAATCATTCATTATGTATCTCACACCTAGAGATTTACTATAGAGCCTTGTAATGTCTGGCTCTTATACAGGAAAAATGCCGGAATAAATTTACCTGTCTTTTGTAAAACAACTTAATGTTACACAAATTATGTAGGAGTGTTTTTAAACTTGTATTCATTCATAATGTTTACCCAGTAATACTTCATGAGATAAAATAATTATTAATATTAAATAGATGTATTTCTAGGACATACTTTGTTTTTGTTCAAGTTTAAGAGTATTTCAATTATAATCAAATACTGGTTGTACATATGCCTGGCAATTCATTGACATAAGCTGACCTGGTTTATGCTAATTGTAGTTGTATATTATACAGTACAGGACAATGGTCATGTAAAACACAAAAAGTTCAAGGTATTAGGCAACTGGCTATTGGGGTGACCATTACCGGACAGTATGTCAGACAAAGGAAATTTTACATGATTCCCCCTACCCATTAGTGGTTTGGGCATAAGAATGACATCCAATTTGTTCAATGTTAACATTTTTATTTTTCCCAATATTAACCTGCCAGAATTTCAAATCCTAAATTATACTTAAATGAAAATAATAACAACAAAAACCCCTGATGCACAACTACACATGCTGACCAACAGTCCTGTAAAGTTTAATAACTCTATGTCAAATATTTTTTGAGTTACTCAATACAAAAGTTGATAATTGATTTTTTTTTACTTTAATAGTCAATGGCAATTACTTTACAAAAACTGAATAAATCTACAAGCAAACAAAAGGAGCGTAATAACACATGCTAAATAACATTCCTGTAAAGTTTCATGACTCCAGGTCAAATACTTTTTACACATGACAAGATGAAAATTACAAATTTATACTAAGTCAAGGGCAATAACTCTACAAATACTAGTACTACAAAACCACCAGGTGCACAACTAAACATGCCGACCAACATTCCTGTAAAATTTCATGTTTCAGAGTGCGTAAAAAGGTAATTCCTCACAAAGAAAAAGTAATTCCCCAGAAAGAAAAAATTGATTGCTTAAATTCCAGTGTTCAATCTATTTCTCTTTTCAAGTCTTAGTAAGTAAGCAAAGTGACACCTGTGACATTAAAATAAGTTATATAACTTGTGTAGAACACCACAAGCGGATACTACATGCCAAACGCATTGTAGTTTCTGGTGAGAAGTTATTTTTATTATACAAATCTATGTAAATTAAGTGACTGCTAGGGGGGCCATTTTTGACCCCTGGGGTATGACTTATATAATTTTTTATTTTAGAGTTCCACTAGGCAATGCAACCGGCCATATATCTCAGCTCTTGGAATTGTATTTGTAGCTTTCACAAAAGACTTTAATGTATTTTCCTATATACAAAACTTAAAAGTAAGGGTCTTTATTCAACAGTTTTTGACACCAAACTTCAGCCCCATTTCACTCTCCATTAAGTATTTCAAGATAACATCAAATTCTTCTATTACCCGTGAGCCCCTGTCAAAAGTCCCCTAAAAGGCAAATTAGGGCGCTCAAAGTGCAATGAGACAATTATCATATCTGTTATCCATGATATTCAGTAAATATGAAAGATGAATCTACTGTGATTGTGGCTTCTCTGTTCTCAGTACAGAAACATGTTGATACCTTTCACTTGGCTTTAAAGCAAATAGTAATAAGATTTCAGACAATATTTTAGTTGAAAATGTTGTCAGTTATATAACTATTAAGACTAAGAGAATGAACATATTTGTGCCCATCTTTCCAAATAATATTATAAGTACACTAAAAGACTGATAAAAAGAGTAGAAGCTAGAATTTAATATGAGTCCATAACGGTTAACCCTGAGAGCATCAAAGTAACTTAAAACACTTAAAAGAAGTAAGGTTTTAATAACTGAGAGAAACATACAGAGTTATCAGCAATCCGCTGTCCAAGAATAAGATATTCATTCTTGCATGTGCTATCTTCAGCAGGTCTCACACGCCGTACTAGACCCACATAGCTGAGGCCACCACCACCCATTGGAACCCAACCTCCGCTTGAATCGTCGCGGGTCATAACCTGTGCCTGAACACGCACAAGTGTCTCATCACTGAAAATTAAAGAAGTAAGTCAATTAACACTTATCAAGCTAAATATCTTAATTAGATTGTCCATCATTCAATCAGCATAAAAAAGAAACATTCATATGTTTTAGGGAAAATTTCCACATAAATACTGACTGAAAAGTGACCAGAGTAGACCATGATCAGATGACAATGATGTGCCAGCTGATCTTAGTGTGCACTAGTCACATGGATATATTCAGTTGACTTTACAGACTAAACATATAGAGTTATTAACTTATACATTGTTCCTGCTTTTTTGGCATTTACAACATTCTTTTAATATTTGCTTACACCCAATGATCATAGAAATAAAGTTAATAATTTTGTAGTGAGTCTTTTTGAGGCAACAAAAGTTTATATATAAATTTAAAACAAGTAGTTAAATAATAAATTTACATATTTAGTGTTTATAATTATTGTCATAAGTTAATTTCATACTTGGTGTTAGTACTATAGACATATTTCTTTACTTTAAGGGTTTTTTCTTCTTATTCCAGGAGTTGTTTTTATTAAAATGATAATAAAATAGTTAAAAAAAAGGTTAGAGAGGCTGTTCCTGTAAGTTGGTATACGACAGTCTATCTAGTAGACTGGCCCTGTTCCGATAGTTACTTCACTGTTCATATCAATACATCATGCCATGGCAACATGATAGAATATTCAGAAATATTCAGAGAGACCAAATTCTTCAAATATATAATTAAAAATAAAATAAATAATAATTTTCAATTCTGTTTTCATTTTTTGTTTGTGTTCTAAAAGATGGTGATGACTGATAATTATGGCTTATAATGAATATTTATGGTATTTCATACTAATTTAAAGTTGTAAAAGTTACAGAAATAATGGTAGTACATTTCTACACCTCCATTAAGTGACACCTGCCTTAAGCAGCCAATAGGCTACTTCTCTTGACTAGCTGCTTAACCAACAGGTTGGACTGTATAGTAAGAATCTTGGTATCTTCAAATGATATAAATATAATTTGAATGCAGTTGTCAGTAGGAAACAACTGGACACCATGAATGACTGAGGAACCTTCTCAATGTAGATTTCAACCATGAATCTTGGCAATAGCAAACACATCTACTATAGGATGGTATGAATCCGGGTCAGCTGAGCTTGGACCTAAAACGTACTCGGCCCCAGAGTCAGCTTGGCCCCATTCCAACTCGGCACGGGCCCACTTTTCAATTTATTTATATGTTGTTTTGTTTATCACTTAAATTCAAAAACCTGGAAGATGTTTTCTTAAATTATTATTATAATTTTGGTAATTGAAATTAGGAAAAGACATTAAAGGACAGCTATCACCAATCAATTATCATGCACATATTAATGGTACCGATTATTCAGGTGATACAGTAATTATGATTTACGCAATCATTCAAATTTGATTAGTGTCCACCTACAACTAATTAGAAGCTCATGATAAATAAGTAAACATTTTTTTATTTCAAATTTTATTGAAGATTACTTTACACACAAAAAGCATATTTGTATTATATTAATTTCAACAAACATAACAAATTTTAGCTAAAGAGACTTCAGCGAACAGGTTTTATAGTACTGCTAGACCTGTTTGCTGAAGCCAATCCCATATGGAAATACAACCAGAGCTGTGACATATTTATGTAATTCAATCAATTTGCATTATTTGGACAAAAAAAGCTATTTAAATACAGGTAGTTAGATATATTTTGTACACTTCAGTCTATATTTTTTAACAAAAAAGGTTAGATTGATGAATAATGCCTCAAAGTTTATGCTGCCGTAATCATCACGTGACTTGCGAGAATTTTGGTTTAGATACCTTTGTATGACCCGTGATCCAAATGTTATTTTTAATTAAAATTTGGCTGTGCACTTCCTTTGCAAATAGGGTTGATCTATTACTTTAAACTAATGTTGCACAACGTCAAAATAAAAGCGACATAAGTTATGGAAGCCAGAAGTAAACAAATTTCTTCTAAATATACTTTAATTCTTCAAAAGAACAATTATATAATAATATACCAGATATCTCTTATTTTTCATTTTAAACAGCTTGCCTTGATAACATAATCAGAAAAGTTATTACGGTCAATATGGTTTTTTTAAAGTGGGCTGAATGACCCGTGCTGAGTTGACCTGGCCGAGTTGAATATAAAAAAGTCTGTGTTTGACAAAATATAAGTTAAATGTTTTAATTTCTCTACAAAATGGCTTAACACCTCAATACATTATTTTTCTTTTTAATTTAAATTATTCATGAACACAATAATGGCAACAAATCAAGATTATTATTGACAGGTAAATGCTCATAACTTTCATATATGTATGAGAAACAAACCAATCAGGTGTAATGGAAATGCAATAAAACACTTAAATGAATATTGGTCTCAATGGTTTACACACTACAAATCATATACACGAATGGTCCGAGATAAACTGACCAATATGACGTGTGAACCATTCATAACGATTTATGAATGAAAAATAATTTCCAACAAACAGGGCCTGACACAAATTTCCTCAACAAAAACAGCGTGTTTTAAATAACGAATCAAAACATATCGGAAGAATATCATAACATTGGGTAAGTACGACAGTATAAATGCCAGATCAGTTGTTTTGTTTTGAAAATCCAAAATACACAGAAAGACAGTCACCATCCCTAAAATGAGCAAGAAAACGAGCGTAGAACACCAAGAGATTAAGATTTTGAAAATAATTACTATTACAAAGATATAGCTTACTCTTTGTTTAAAGTTTCTGTCATCTTTCATAATCCATCTTTGATAGTATCTTGTCTTTATCACAAAATTACTTCAATCCTCATATTTTCTAAATTAGACAGGAAATGGGACCGCGACACACATCAAAAATCGGCAAACGCATAAAATAGTCCTTTGATTCGCAACAAAGTTGTATTTATGTGAAAAACGAGCAAAACTAGAACGGAAGGATATAACAAATTTTGCTTTGTTACTTTACAATTCTGTATTTTTTACAAAAGTATAACGCTATATTGAAATAATGTCTGGCAGCGCAATAATCCGCTTTTGTGAAAGATGGCGACATGATGAAAATAGTGCGAACCAAATTATGCACATAAGATATATTTTTAACAGCACTATATCCAGGGTTTTCATGCACACTTTTGTGAATTAAAGGCTATTAATTGATATTTTGAAGCGATATTCAACTGTGTCTTTCTAACATATTGAAACAATCGACCGAAATACCACATTACATTGATAAAATTAGCACGTGAACTTTGGCGTAAGAATTCTGGCCAATGGAACAAGAGGTCAACACCGTGCCTGTCAATCAACTACTTATGAATTAAAATGTCATCTGGCCTGTTGTGAAGGTCAAACGCATTAGGCGTGACGTCACATAAATTATGAATAGACAAAAACATAACTCCTCCTTCTTAAGTAAATTATGAATGGCACAGTCAGACGACGCTGGTGTAGATATGAGTACTCATTCTGTATCTGATTATCAATGTACTTTCAGGAAATCTGTTTTCCTTGTCGGTGCATCGGCGTAGCGCCAGAGACATAGATATCTATGTCTCTGGTAGCGCTTATAAATGTTCACCCCAAAACTCATTCATCATCATCAACTTATGTCATATTTTACTTTCGAATACACGTTAGTATCTGGAGTGCATATAACATGAGTTGTATTATAATATGAGTTGTATTATTCTAAAAATTACATATTATACATTCATTTTTCTACCTATGCGTGTCCTGTTGTTGTTGTTGTTTTCTTTTTCAGAAGGCCACTTTGGAAATAAGATATATATGATTGTTATTGTATGTTCTTAATGTGTAACCTTCTTTAAATAAAGATATTATTATTATTATTATTATTAATATTATAACACTTTTTTTAAAGTGATTTAGTCTAAATAATGGACAGTTTAAATACATATTATAATGAATAATTACGTCCATAATATTTAATAAGACATGATAACAGTCAGACCACGAAAGGAAGTTTTTGCCAAGTGTAAGATACATGATCCGATATTACATATATTTATACAGGCAGATAATAAATTGTTCCATTAGGATTCATCACAATATAGATGTGCATTCTAAATCACTTTATCAGCATTTTCCAAGCAACGTACGATTTTTAAAAATATCCAAATGATACATTTTTATTGTTTTTATCAGTATTTGAAATACAAATGCCCATTAATAGTTACCTATCCAAGCGTCTCTATCGACAGTTTATATTATGGCGGCTGATTTCTGCCATTTTATGTTCAAAATACGGGGAATGAACCTATATATGCCAAGTATATATTGTCTTAATTTTCATTATTTACTTTATCTATTTTTATGTATTCTATTTATTTTTTTATTATTTTTTCATCTTTAAGGTCTCATGGCATTTGTAATCGCATTGTGACACTTCCTATTTAATTTTTGTGGAACTAATTGTACCGGCATGGTGTGGGTACAATGTGGGGCTTCATGGGTACACCATGTCGCTGCATCACTTCATTTGCGTTTTGGTCAGGAACTTTCATTGTGCGGTTGCATTATGTCTCATTCTAGTCACTCATTTGTAAAGTCATTTATAAGTATCTCTAGTCTTATTTTTGTATTTATCATGCAAATTATTTTGTCTCAAGCTATATTTACACATCTGTATTATTTTTTTGTTAATGCTCATTTGTTTGTGAAATTTTACTGTTTATAAAACTGATGCCCATATGGGCCTATAGTTGAAAACTTGTTACACGGGGGATACACGGAGTTCCTCTGACTACTGTCTCGCAGTTCTTGTGATAACTGGAACGGAGTTCCTCTGATAACTGGCACGAAGATTCTGGCAAACGTTACGGATTTCGTCGGCAAACCTTTGTATATACCGGAAAAAAAAAACACTCGTCAAAAATGGTAATTTTCGTCTTAAAAAGAGAGTTTGAAGTGCCATATTTAAGCTTACCTTACGTATTGTATTATGTATCAGAAAAACCTTCATAGTCCATTTTTCATCGCCCCTTGTTTATAATCTGCCAGGGACGTAGTTTTTTAAGGGGCTCATATTTCACTCTTCTTTTTTTGGTTTTTGACACATTTAATAGTTTATTTATAAGGGGTTCATAATTCTACAGAAGATGTTGTGTCTTCGCCTATTAAAATATTATCGTTTCGCCTTAAATGTATGTGTCTTCGTGTCGGCGCCTTCAAAGGACATGATTGGTGACATGTTTTGTTTTGGGTCCTGAAAAAGCGGATGTGTCCTTATTAAACTTAGAACGTACACATGTCGGCGCAGATCCTTCGACGATTAGCGGCGAAGGCATGAAATAGCAGAAATCAGCCACCATACAATATAACGTTCCGGTGTCTTGTACTTTTCTGACAATTCCCTATGAAGATATTGGATCATTTTCTTAACTAACTAGAATATAGGTAATTGTTATATTTATTGGATAACACTTGTATTTTCTAGTGGTTAGCAAAGCCATAATTATGCACCTAAGGCCGTTTTGTACTTTCATATCAATGGTCGCTCGTTTGAATCTTCTAAAATTAAAATGAATATAATATAAATATAATTTAAAATAGTAATATTTACAAGCAGCGGTGAGAATTATTAGAAAATAACACTTTAAATGAATTCATAATTGTTTGGATAAATTTGTATCCTCCCGTACGCACGGCTTTAACGTGGCGTATATGACCAGTCCACGGTGTTGTATACATGTAACATTTGGTAACAGCTTTTCCATGCATATCGTCAGAACCTGCTGTAAATTTCACGAATTTCAATATAAACATGCTTAAAATGTTGAGATCGATTGCACTGTACACAAAAATATATTAGATATTTTTCAGTTTTAATACATTACTGCACTTATGATATTATATAAAACAATTTTAGAGGCAATGAGATGAAATACCCGTAATAATTGAAAATGTTTAAAAGTATATCCATCAGATACTGCATAGATATAACGTTTTTGTTGGATTTTCATGTAAATTTATACAATAATCAAAATGACCAACGGTGTATTTATTTACTGTCCGTTTAACTACACCATCCGATATAATTTTATATAGTTATATTATTACTACCCCTGTCAGTCCAAGGGAGGCAATTTGTGCTTGACATAATATACATGTAATATATGGCGTTCCGTTAGGGTCATCGCTTAGTGAAAACATGAAATCACGAAAACGAAGACGCGAAAGTACGAAGACTTAAACTCGACAATACGAGAGTCAAAACACGAAACCACGACGGAATGATGACGAAAATACTATGATGAAAATGCAAGACATGAACAAGAAAACACCATGACAAAACACGAAACATTGTCATACTTCCGTCAGCGTACTTTCCTGTTTTCGTCTTCGTACTTTCGCCTTTTCGTCTTCGTACTATCGTGTTTCTGCGTTTCAGATTATCATAAACAAATAAGCAGAAATCAGCCACCATACAATATAACGTTCCGGTGTCTTGTACTTTTCTGACAATTCCCTATGAAGATATTGGATCATTTTCTTAACTAACTAGAATATAGGTAATTGTTATATTTATTGGATAACACTTGTATTTTCTAGTGGTTAGCAAAGCCATAATTATGCACCTAAGGCCGTTTTGTACTTTCATATCAATGGTCGGTCGTTTGAATCTTCTAAAATTAAAATGAATATAACATAAATATAATTTAAAATAGTAATATTTACAAGCAGCGGTGAGAATTATTAGAAAATAACACTTTAAATGAATTCATAATTGTTTGGATAAATTTGTATCCTCCCGTACGCACGACTTTAACGTGGCGTATATGACCAGTCCACGGTGTTGTATACATGTAACATTTGGTAACAGCTTTTCCATGCATACCGTCAGAACCTGCTGTAAATTTCACGAATTTCAATATAAACATGCTTAAAATGTTGAGATCGATTGCACTGTACACAAAAATATATTACAATATTTTTCAGTTTTAATACATTACTGCACTTATGATATTATATAAAACAGTTTTAGAGGCAATGAGATGAAATACCCGTAATAATTGAAAAGGTTTAAAAGTATATCCATCAGATACTGCATAGATATAACGTTTTTGTTGGATTTTCATGTAAATTTATACAATAATCAAAATGACCAACGGTGTATTTATTTACTGTCCGTTTAACTACACCATCCGATATAATTTTATATAGTTATATTATTACTACCCCTGTCAGTCCAAGGGAGGCAATTTGTGCTTGACATAATATACATGTAATATATGGCGTTCCGTTAGGGTCATCGCTTAGTGAAAACATGAAATCACGAAAACGAAGACGCGAAAGTACGAAGACTAAAACTCGACAATACGAGAGTCAAAACACGAAACCACGACGGAATGATGACGAAAATACTATGACGAAAATGCAAGACATGAACAAGAAAACACATGACAAAACACGAAACATTGTCATACTTCCGTCAGCGTACTTTCCTGTTTTCGTCTTCGTACTTTCGCCTTTTCGTCTTCGTACTATCGTGTTTCTGCGTTTCAGATTATCATAAACAAATAATTTATAAATATATCAGTTGCAACTTTCTTAGTTTTTTACTTTGTCCTATATAAACAATATAGTATTAATGTGCCTGTATATCATCTATTTCAAGTGGTTAAGGTCAATTCTAACACGCCTCGTAATTTTGTCACTATACAATGAAGAAGAAGAAGAAAACGGTGTTAATAGGCTACTCTTCCTAGGGACTACATGTTTATGCGGCTGTTCTTTTTTCCTCCGATAACACGGCAAACAAAGATTTCAAGGCCAGAATAATATTTTTCGTTCTTATTATGTTGTTTCTTTATCACATGATGCTAAAATAACATCTCAATACACTAACGTATGTATGTGTATGTATGTATGTAGTTTATGCTTAATGAGGGTCCATCCGCACGAAAGGCCCAAAATGCAGCTTTCGCTGTCGAGTACAGACCCCGGACATGTCACCAGCCATGCCCTTAAAGCACAAAGCGGTCATATTTACCTCCATGCAATTTCCACAGATATGATTTTTAAGCCAAAAGTAGGTCACTGTACGGCGGTCAATGAGAACCTAAATGTAC